GCTTAGCATCAGCACCTTGCAATCCCCTATACAGCAGCACTCAGAGTGGGAAAGCAGGACTGGGGGGCCAATCTAGTGTTCTATATGCAAATGTGTTGATAAGATGCTATGCTGATAGGAGAATGTGCAGATAGATAACCTCTTGGATCTGTGGATACTCTTTCACTGTCCAGGCAGCAAGTTGGTGGAGAAAAGAGGACACCGCTTTAAGTGGTGTCGTCCGCCAGGCTGTGGTGTGAACTTAGAAATGGGGAGACAGCACAACAAATTCTTTGGTGGATAAAACAGCTCTCTTATTTGTATTTCATCTGTGTACTTAGCTGTTTGTATGGAGCCCTGCTGTAATAGTTAAAGTATATGTAAACCCTAACAATGGACTTCTTTTATTTGCTCACTTTTGATCTGTTAAATATATCTTTAAAAATGCTAATTCAATTAGTTGACCAATTATTTTTTGGATTAATCAGATAATAAAAAAAATAAACACCATCCTTGATTTAAAATAAAATACACAAATGGTGCAAATGGTGTTACAAACAAAAGTTACTACCGAATAAAACTGCATGCATAATTGTTTGCAGTCGCACTGCACTGAAAAGCTCGCCATTGCGGTATCACACGTTCCAGTGCGGGTGATCATACTGTGGGTGGGAGGCACATTTGGGGTGCCATTGAAATGAATGGTACCGCAACGCAACTCCCACAGCAGAATTGGTCAGGCCAAAACAAAAAATTACTTTTCCCACCTGTTTATTTTTTTATAATTGTATTGTGAGCACATGGCGCTTGAATAGCTTCAGCCAGGGAATGACAACTGCCAGTGGCAAGATTCCGCAGACGGCAGATGAATGTAAATACAGCACGTAGTGGACTGGTGCAATAGCCAGCCTGCCATTGGCCATTTCAAATTGCAATAGCAGGCTTGCTATAGCACCTGCCAACTGCTTGCTGTGCCCTCCTCCCAGCATGTAGGAGAGCTGGGGGATCCAACCAACTAATTGATAATGAGAATAGTTACCAACTATTCTCATCAGTTAGTTGTTGCAGCCCTAGCAGATAGAACAACCTATTTATTGTGCCAGCCCCCAGATCAAAGGACTGGTAAGCTGCAGCATATTTCGATTGTTTCCATGGTTTTAGATAAACCTTGATTGTAAATTAACTACACATAACTTTTCTGTTCCTCCTCCCTTATTCCAGAACTTTCATAATAAGTCTCCTGTAGGCAGGCCATAGACGGCTTGTATTTTTGCAGATTCCTGCTTCATCCACCTATGTGATCACACCAAGAACTTTATTAAGTTAAATGAAAAGTTTCTTAGGTTTCGGAAGCCTGTCTGAATAAGTTCTGTCATTGATCCAAGATCCAACATATTGGATCTTTGTACTTTGCTTTGCTTGTATTGCTTTGTACCTAAATGTCCTTTTACAGCATTGATGCTCAAAAACACTAATCCATATTTACAAGAACGAGGTTTTTTTTGCATCTTGGAGCTCATTATTGATAAAACATATCTGGGGTTCAATCCCAATTTTCACATGAAAACATCAGTTAATGAAACGGTCCCTCTAAAGTCCCTCTACTAGTTTAATTGCTAAAGGCTTTCACACATCATTGTATTCATCACTTTTCAGGCAGATCTAAGCCATTACTCCTAGGATACAACACTTTTACTATCTAGACTAATCTATATGCACAGGACTCTGGGAAAATGGTCTTTAGCACATGCATTGGAATAAGAAGTGTTCAACAATCTAGACAAAGTCAAGAAACTTAACATTCATTGCCCGGTGATCGGACTCTTGGCAGATACCTCCTACTGCACATGTTGACAGGGTTACTCAAAGCAGTAAGGCATGGCTTAGGGTGCACACGTGGCAGCTGCTAAAGTTCATCAAATGCTTGCATACAGATACAACTGCACTGATTTAAGGCTGGCAAAACGCTAATTTCCACCACCCACATGGATAGGTACTGGTGTTAGAATACCCGTTGATTGACTGCAGCTGGTTGGCTGCAGTCACTGTTGAGCTAAGAATTTTCAGTCCAGCTCCCTCAGCAAAAATGTAACGGCGGGGGGAGATGGGGATCATGAGGTCACCACACAAACACTATAAATATATAATGTGCCGAGCTATAAAAGTCAACCAAAACAGTGGCAATGTGACATATCAGGCCAATGACATAAATGTGGAAATATATCAGTGAATGAATAAATCACAAAACATGCAATATAAGAAACTTTGTGAAAAAAGATGGCCAATGCACCGATTAGATTGTTCACCTGTATTGGGCTCCCATCTATTGGGTATGGGTTAAATGGGGTGGGCCTGTTGATTATATAAATAGAGTTGTGGACGTCAGTGTCTCCACACCCCTGATAAAGTCACGCGAGACGTATCGCGCGTAGGTTGGACGGAATTACTGACGTCATTCTGAGTCTGGCCGGGAGGTTTTCCTCGCTCGTGCATGTTTGCTCTGGACTCTGGACTGAGATTATTTTCTTTGCTTTACTCTGAGATTTATGAGAGTAAATTTTTAGTGATTAAAATGTTATATCTGGACGATAGGCGCTTTTAATTGAATTATGAATTATAATCATGTGCATTTGGCATGAGCGTACCAGGAGTTAGCGTCTAAAATGCGTCCCTCCCTGCTAAAGCTGGCCATACACCTTACAATTATCTGCAGATTTTCTGTGGTCAGATGGAAAAGGTGCAATAGATTCCTCCCATCTACACTTCACTGTGTGGATGGAGTAATCTCCACCTGGGCCAATCTGTTTTACTTATTCCATCTGACCACAGAAAATCTGCAGATAATTGTAAGGTGTGTGGGCACCTTAAGGGTACGAAAAGTCGATCGCATACGATTATCGTAGATAATCGTAAGGTGTATGGGCACCTTAAGAAGGGACCAGCGTTTGATGACCTTGATTGGTCATTGCTTCAGGTGAGCACCCACCTGTTTTCTCCTTACTCACCTATTGTGAATTGAAGCATCCTTCTGGTGTGCGGTTTGCAAGTTACCTCTGATAGAAGATCACTCTTCAGTTTATTTTCTGCACTGGATGTAGACGTTCACTACTTGATGTTGACTGCACTTTGATTTCTACTGACTTTTTTCACAAAGTTTCTTATATTGCATGTTTTGTGATTTATTCATTCACTGATATCTTTCCACTTTTATGTCATTGGCCTGATATGTCACATTGCCACTGTTTTGTTTGACTTTTATAGCTCGGCACAATAGTTATATTTGTTCGATTATTACTCATTAGTGCCTGGTAGCTTTCACTATATTTCACTGGCTCAGATCATATTGTTTCATATTTTAATACACTTTAGAACTGAAGGCAGAGAGCTCATGCATCAAAATTTAAAAAAACCTCATGGAATGCTCACTATGTGGATACAAAGTGACATGATAAGATTAGTATATTTTATTAAATAGCAGACGTGTCGGACATAAGAATTGCCCGACCACTACTTATTATCTTGGGATCCTACAGCTCTCACGAGTTCCTCCTGAGGACCTCCATGTTACTACTGTATCTTGTAAAGTGTGGAGCTATGGCAGAGGAACCAGTGAGCTGCAGAGCACCTACAAGATCAACACTTCTGCAAGTCTGTAGCCTAGCAGCCATCCAGAAAAGATTTCTCAGCATTTGGCAATGTGGACAGCAGGGAAGGTATGAATTCAGACTTCCAGTACTGGCATGGCCGAGTTTAAGACCTCAACTATAGAAACCAGGCCGCTTTTTGATAGAAAAACAGGCAGAACAAAACAGATGCACATTATACAGAAAACAGCAAAATATATATTTACATATAAATTATGTTTCTGAGGCGACTCAAAATTGCCCATTTAGACCACTATAGGAATGTGCAAAATTTTTCAATAATTGCAGCATTGGTGTAGCGGTTAGCATTTCTGCCTTGCAGCACTGGGGGTCCCTGGTACGAATCCCGGCCAGGTCACTATCTACAAGGAGTTTGCATGTTCTCCCTGTGCTTGTGTGGGTTTCCTCACACTCCAAAGACATGCTGGAAGGTTAATAAGCTCCTGTCTAAATTGACCTTCATTGTATGCATGTGAGATTGGGACCTTGGGTTGTAAGCTCGAGGACAGGGACTGATGTGCATTGTGTAAAGCGCTGCATAAATGGTTGGCGCTATATAAATAATATTAATCTTACTGATGGTATAGTCAGTGTTTGAAATGTGTAGACACTGTCAGATATACCTCCAACAGAAAAATAAAACACACTGTAGCCAACACCATTAAGAAGTTCACACAGGAGGCACAATCACAAGTTTGATAGTAATCTATTATTATTACAGAAACAGTATTCAAGAATAGAAAAGAGAATTTGTAAGACACAAGAACATTATGCTGATTACATTGATGTCACTTCATTCTAGCAACCAGATCAAATAATACATTGCAACACTAATAAACATATGATACAGGAATCACACATCGTATTTGAGAGTAATTTCTTATAAGATATATGAAAATAAAATACAGACAAAGAAATGCAGCATGTACAATCCGAGACATTAAAAGGGGGTTCCCATCTTCAGTTTAAAAAAAAAGTGGAAATTGCCTTCCAATTATGCGTGACAGTACAGTTTAGAGGCCGGTACCAGCTAGATTCTGATATTTCAGCCGTGCTAGGTTACGTTATACAGCGGCTTAAATATCTTGGGGATTCCAGGGGTGAGATTTCCCCATCCAACAAAATTGCCAATTCTGAGCAACTGTGTTAAACATCCAATGGGTGGGGTAGAGGCACAAGTTAGGGAAAGCCTCCAAGAAGAATGGCAGAATGGGTTTTGAAGTCAAAACTGAGTGAAGTCGGCCTTCAGATCAATCAAATGGATATTGAATGCTTTGGAGCTTAGACTGGGGAACATTCATCTGATCAAAGGTTTAGATGGGATATGATCCCTATTCTCTGTCCATTACCCCTCCTTGGAAGGTGACTGCCTTTTTCACTGAACATGGCTAAAACCCTTTAAATAGGAAAAACAGGATAAACCAAGAAATATGATAAGTATATATTAATGCAATCTGACACAATTTAACAAATGGCTAGGTTAGAACAATTTCATTGATTTACTGGTAGTGTAAAAATACCAGGGCTTGGAGCACACAATGGCACTTTTCAAGTGTACCACAGCATGCTCAAAATGAAAGGAACAGGAAAATATCATGTTTAAACAGTCCAGTTGAGAACAACCTGGTCACGTCTTGTAAAAAGGCACAACATTTTCATTTAAGGCTAGTATGGTTACATCTAAAACACAATTCCCATTTTCCCAACCAATCTTCACCAGAGGCACATATTTGTTTCTGCAGAAAAAATGAAGACTATACAGGTGCTAAAGTGCCATTCCTTGGAGTGATACTGGTGTGCAATGTGAAGCCTTAAGGCACAGGGACCCCTGTTCTCTAATAATGGAGCCATTTAATAAAAAGTGGACAACAACATGCTTCTCATCAAAACTGCAAGCATAGAGGCTGCACTTTCAGCTTCATTGGAATGACATTTTTTGCACAAACGAGGGGTGGGGGGATGCTTGTGAAAAAAAAACTGTACAGCTTCTCTAGCATTTTTATTGGTCTTGAAGTAATTGTGCTCTTTTTTTTTTTTATTAAATAAATGCTGTGCAATATGTACAGCCTGCCCTATGTAAAGCACATGATATTGCTCCCAATGACATCAGTTTAGACAATAGCCTATGAAAGAAAAATAAGAGAATGAAATGGTATTTTTTTAAAGCATATTTTACTCCTTCAAAACTTTATTTTAAAAAAAAAGTCTAGGAAAACCTGTCAGGTAAAGCAAAGTATCGCATTAAATGCCTCATAGTGGCTGGTGTGTTATATTCACCTCCACATTCCTGCTCTGCAAGGTTTAAGTCCCATATTGTGCACCTTCATATATATTCATACACTGGCTTTCTATCAATGACATATGTCACACCCATAGAAACAAAAACAACTCCCACATAGTGGGGCTCATGCAGAAACACATGAGAAGTAGCTACTTCCAGCCACCAATAATTCAATATCTTTCACCAAGTGGGAAAATTAAACAAGGAATTTGATTGTACGCAAGGGGCAACTCCTGCACTTTGTATGTGGTGAGGGCTGGGGATGCAGTACGGATCCAATCTATATCACCAGCCCTCACAATGAAAGCAGTATGTATAGCTACATGTAACTAATCACAATGAGATATTGCTAGAACAGTACAACAGCTACCCTGGTTTTAGGACATAGAATGAGTTGCTGTGTAAGCACCACTCACTTTCCAAATTTCAAACATGGTCTTTGGGGTACATAAATGGAGATCTTCGTAACATTTCTGAGGATCTAAGTGTCCAATCAAACCTGTAAATCTGTAAGCATTTTATTCTCAGGAGAGCTCCTTAAACATACACTCAGCACTGAGGCTGCCTGCACATTCAGAGTGACAGGGTCCTTCTAGGATGCTCATCACCACGATGAAATCTGCATCTTTTTTCTAAAAAAAATCTTACTATACCTTTAATTTGGAGCAATGTAAGGAAATCTGTCACTAAAAAAGGGTTCCTGGACATGCACCAATTAAGGATTTCACAAAGCCCGTCACTGTACAGATTGAAGCTTCAATGAAATGGACTGTGAAGCCACTGTGAATATTTGCAGCATCCAGTTTCCCCAACACCATGCAGCTTGTCAATGTTCCACTACCATTACTCAGCAAGCTGTTACAAAGTGATTTCCACATTGTTTTCTCATACTTGGTATATGACAGGTTCACTTTAATAAAAAAGAGTGGTTGTCAAAGCAAGGAAAACTAACAAACAGTCTTAGCAGCCCATAATATGATATTCTATAAAGACTTTCTATTTACAAGATGTAAAACTCATCACTTTACAAAACAGCACTTTTTTAGAACACAACATTAACATTAAAGTGACTTCTTCAAAGATGTTTCAGAGATTGGAATATAAAAAATAAATCGGATGTTATCGGTGCAATTCAGGGAAAGCTCCCTTTGCAATTACCACAACTGGCCAAATATTATGCCAACCATTCTTTTTCTGACAGTGCAAAAGTACAAATTTTCCATACTATAGAAACAGACTGCCATCCCCATACAGACATAAATGAGCGTCCTTTAAGAAACAGATATACACTTTATATATAGTAAAGTCTTGTTTCAGTTAACTTCATTTTAGAGTATTAAAAAGGGAAAATAAAAGTGGTCTGTGTACATATCATTAGGATAATCATTTCATCCCAGCCCCTCGTCTCCAAATAAATGAACTGGTCCTGATCAGAGGTCGTTGGTTGGGTTTCGGGTTGGATTACTGTTCTTCCAGCCAGGATGGTGCATCTACTCCTGGGGTTTTCAAGTTCACGTGGAATTGTTTCAAAGTTTGTTCAAGCTGTTTCTGGTTTCCAGCAAAGTAGGCAGCTATTGCATTATGGAACAAGACGAGCTGATTGTGAAGTACTTTCACCTAAGGAGGAAAATAATAAAAAAGTTTATAAGCCATTTTCTTCTTTAAGATACGAGAAAAAAAGTTTTCTGTAGACTAATCATTCATTTTCTAGATTTCACTGTATACAATATAACCTGAGCTATGATTGTGGGAAAAGTATAACCCACAACAAGCTAGGACAGTGAACAGGCACCTGTTCAGCATCTGTTGTGATTTACATCAAAGGTAGCAGAAAGCTACAAGGTTGGGGTACCAATGGTATCCGCTTTGCCTTTCAAGGGACGTGCCGTGTTTATCATAGTCAGGGGCTCTACTCTGCAACTGAACTATCCTGCCTTGTTTTCTACATTTATAAATCACAAACACAAGGATGACATGTGATGATTTCCTGAATACAATCATTTGCATGGAGTCAATGAAGAGTTATGTCTGGTGGCACTCTGGTAACTAAAAGCAAGGGTTGGATTTCTATTATTTGCACTTATTTGGAGATGCAGTCCACATTTGGTACATTTATTCATTTTGGCATTGAACCTGAACTTAGTAAAGACTTAGTAAAAAATATGCAAAAACTATGATCTATTTATACCCCACAAGGAAAGAACATACACTAGATCTACAGCAAAGGAAATGGTTATGTACCCTTGCATTACTGATATAAAGATGGGCAGATATGGCCCAAAATCAAAAGAAACGCTCTAAGCTGATTGTAATTATTGACCAGTTTATGGCTACATAAAGCTGCAGGTTAACTACGTAATGACCAGTATGGATGACATTTAGAAAGTCTGGTACACAGGGTTATAGCTAGTGGAATGTGTCCAATACATCCTAAATAAGGTGACACAGCATTAGGTTGTTAGAAAAGATATTTATATGGTTCTATAAAGAAAAGCATTTTATGGGTTACACAACTATTGCAAACTAATAACTAGGATCCTGAGACCACAACATTAAGGTTCAGCATCTCTGCAATAGACCAGTCTTGTTGGCTACAAGTGGATGGAGCATTACTAAGGTTTAGGTGCATTAGCAATGAACTCTATACAACGTCTGTTTTCATAAAAGCCCTTTAAATATGAAGCAAGCAGGATTTTTTTTTAGTGCACTGCACCTAAAATGCACGTGTGGTTCTCCCTCGAGAAAGCAATTAAATCACGTTATAATTATGCCCCAGTTCTGTCTTCTGCAGTCTATCCCAATGTATTAAACATTTTGATTGCAGAATAGATAGGGCTTTCCTACTCATCTGGGAGCAGATTTTGATGAATATATTTTTTCCAAAAGGTTTTCTTTGGGAAGACTTATGCAAACGATATTGTATTAACATTGAACTAAAGAGAACTCTGTAGCAAAGTCAGACGCCCTGGAGCAAATACATTCAGCTTCTGAGATTAGTGTTGGACCTATACTGTCATTACAGTGACACTAAACTCAGGAGTTGTTAAAAATGTTAAAAATACATTCAAGTACCTTAAATATTAAACACAAATGTATCTTATTTGTGTATCACTCAGCTGTAGATCCTCAAATTATCTCTGATATGGTGCTGACACTGTCCTTCCTTCTGGAGGGTGACTACTTTTGTTCTCCATGGTCCCTGCATGTGTTGTAAAGTAGTCAACGCTCCAAGTTATTATCAACTCTCAAGCAAAGTTCTCTCTCAGGTCCACTCCTCTGCTGATTGACAGCAGGCAGTGGGTGGGTGCAAAAGTCAGCCTGCTATTACAATTGAAAGTAGCCAGAAGCAGGCTATTGCTCTCACCCTCTGCCGGCTGCGGAATCTAGCTGCTGGCTGGCAGCCAGATGTAAACAGAAAATTTTGTTGGCAACTAAAATGTATTTGCTAATGAAAATGTTTTAGTGTGCACATGTCTTTTAAGCAACCGGCAAAATAACAAAATCGAGGACATACGTTAAAGATTTTTTTTTTTTTGCCGATTGCTTCAGTGTCGGTTGCTTGAATGCCAGATAATGGGGAGTTTACTGTAGTAATGAAGCACTTTTTTTTTAATAAAAGAAGAATGTATTGCTCCCTTTAATATCCCTGGGTTATTAAATAATGACATTGGGGTATGTTCTCATTTGAGGAAGAATTTAGCACTCAACTGGCCCTATAAGTGTAGGGAGTGTGAAAGTGGAAAACACAGTGCGCCAAACCTAATGAGGGATCCACATTAAGTAACCCATTGGTCTGAAAGCACATGCACATTTCTATTTAAGCATATAAAAGAAAAAAAATAAGGTGCATCTTCAAAAGTAAATAGCTGGTGTAGCCAAAAAAAAAAGCAGAGAAAGAGACCATCTAATACCATCTTTTGATGTCTAAGTCCTGTTCCTCTAGCGTCACAGGCATATGCCAGGACTATGGCGTCATTAGAGACACATTTCACCCACTCCTGTCTGATTATTAAACTACACTGATGGTGTCATCAGGACGCAGGGGCAATGAACAGGGAGAGCTGGCTAGGTGACAGCTTGCAACCCAACGGGCATGATACATTTGTTTATGCCACACTGTGGAATGGATGACCAAGTGGACCTTGCTGACAGAGCTGCAGAAGAATGCTTACTATAAGAGTTATATTATTTAGAATGGACGTGTCTTACACTGCTGTAAGTATAAGGTTATTTGAGTCTTGTTCCACTTTAAGAGATAGAGAGCTGTGGTGAGGTTGAAGCAAATTTGAGCAAGCGACCATGGTAAATGTCATTAGTATGAGATGATTATGTGCAAAAGTCTAGATTCATATTCTGTATTCCCACTATTCCTGTAATGCTTGGATTTCTGCATATCATTAAGACTAGAGGTTGTTGTGATCCCCAGTGACAATACTGGGGGGATAGAACAACCCTGTCATGTATCTTTGTTCATTTCAATTTGGGGGATTTATATCCTTTCAATGAAATGGGCACAGAGGCTGAGCTATATAAAGTCTTTAAAATGGGCAGAAATTTTGGTGTGAAGACAGATCTTTGAAGAGCAAAAAAATAAATAATCCCATGATAGGGAATCAAAGGCTTTATTCAAGTCCAGGGAAAAGAAGCATACTGTTTCTCTCCCCTTTTATCCCGGTTAAATTGAATGGACAAGATCAGGTCAATAATCCTCCATGTCTGGCAAGAGCCCAATCTATGTGGAAAAATAACAGCTTGCTTCAAATGTATGTACTGTAGGCGGCTAAAAAGTTATTAATACTTTCTAAAGTAATAAAACAAAGGGGGGTCTGAAAAATACCTGATTGTACTGCCCGTAGCCAAGCAACATCCCCCCCATTAGTAACCTGTACTAATAGCAACAAAAGAAGTATGTAGCAAAACAAAGGTTTACCTATAATAATTATTTATAAGAGACTTAAAGCTTAACTCCAGGCAAACAGTTAGGGCCCACTCACACCAGATGCAGTCCGTTTTTGAGCTGCATCACAAAAGCAGCACAATGCTTTCCTATGGGATTCTGGTGTTCTGTCCACACCAGACTAGTCTGTTCCGATGCAGCCAGAAAAAGTACTGCTTGCACTATTTTAGCTGCATCGGACCATGACGGAACGCATCAAAAACGCTGTATTAAGAACTTTCGCAGGCCAAAAGATTTTTCATTCTGTACACCCACGTTTTGTGCTTCAGGCAGAGGAGCCAAGTCTTTAAACTTCCCTGCTTTAGAAGCATATCACAGTGAAGAAGGCTACGGACCATAACCGACAATAATGGAGCATCAGAACCTCGATAAGTCATCACTCGCTCCTCCGATCAGTGTACATTATTAGCCTGATTGGTTTCTCTTCCTAGACCTTCTTATGCTGCTTTGCAGGAGATTACAGGAGGCTAATATCAAGGCAATTTACATACTTAAGCTGGCCATACGCCTATGGATTATCTGCAGATTTTCTATGGTCAGATGGAAAAAGTGCAACATATTCCTTCATCTACGCTAAACTGTGTGGATGGAGGAATCTCCCGCTGGGCCAAGCTTCAGCATCTTGCTAGTCGGCCCCGCTGGTTCTCAAAATACCTGAACAATCTGATTGGATGCAGGCATTGTTCAGGTGTTTTGAGAGTCAGAGGGGCCGACTAGCAAGATACTGAAGCTTGGCCCAGCGGGAGATTCCTCCATCCACACAGTTTAGCGTAGTTGGAGGAATCTGTTGCACTTTTTCCATCTGACCAGAGAAAATCTGCAGATAATCTATAGGTGTATGGCAAGGTTAACACTAGTTTTACTTAACATAATATATTTCATGATGTGGGATTGCCATTAAACAAAGCCACACAAACACATTTTAGACTTGGGGTGGGAGTATCCACAGACGGGTCAACAAATAAATTCAGTAACTACAGACATATTTATAGACACCCAGATGCACAGTTAGTACATGAATAATACAACTCCCTGCAGACAATAGATTATCTATGGATGAAAGAGTCCTGACACCTCCTTAATAAGTTTGGTCTTTGGTAAAAGCCTCTTTGGTTTGTCACATTGTCAGATTTCTCTGAAGTTAAAAAGTAATTTATAATAAGTTTATGTAATGAGCTTTCAGCCAATCCAGGAGACAAACAACACTTTCCCATAACTTAATTAGACTGCTTAACCATGTTTAACCGGTAGCTAAGCTCTTCAGAAAGTTCAGTGTGGCCTCACACCACAGAGCTCCTCTGCAGTAATATTCATCAAGCAGCAGAAGAATGCTTTGTTCTGTCCCAGTCCGTACCGGCTCCTTTGTGAGAGCTCGGCAGCATGATGTCACCTCCTCTACTTCCATCTATTTGAAGATCTGCTCACTTATTTGCTCAAAAAAGAAAAAAATATTTAAAAAAAAACAAACAAATCTGGTGTAATTCACCATGTGTCTTTCTAAATGTTGTATTGTGCAAATGGCAAATGACGTATCAAAGGTGCTTTTTTAATTTATTTTTAGAGTAAAAGGTTTATAAAACCTCTACAGCCCGAAGAAAGTATGGACCGCAGTCACAGAGACATTCAGAAGAAAGTTGTGTTAAAGACCTATACAATACAT